GCCCAATCTATGTACTACTATTCTAGGAACCCGGGCTAAAAGAAAGAATAACTGATAAACCTAATGAGATAGTATCAAAGAAAAATAAAGAAAAAGTGGAAAAGTATTAGAAAGTAAAATGTTGGTCATTTAGTATACATATTTTGACAATAATTCACTTCATGTTTCATTGGTCTTTGATTTATCAGTTTGATACTGGATTAAACTGCTGTGACCAGTTTATTTAGATACAAGGTACAAATCTGGAAGCTTATGGCTGACTGATCTAAATGAGCTAGAATTAAGTACCTTCTGAGAAAATTCCTTGACATGAGGCAAGACTGGATATTAAATGCCAAAGCAAAGCTTGGAGAGATGAAGAAAGACTTCAAAGACAAACATAACCATACTTTGAAAAATATAATATTCTGAGAATAACCACAAATATTTTTTACCTGTTAAAAAGTGAATTCTTGGGGCTAATGATGAACCAACAAAGATTTTGGATGACTACTTTCCTCGCCTAGCTCTGTGTATAATTCCTTCTCTATCTAATACTTTCTGAGAAATCTGGGCCCTTAAAAGGAACAGATAAGGCCGGGCGCGGTGGCTCACGCCTGTAATCCTAGCACTCTGGGAGGCCGAGGCGGGCGAATTGTTTGCGCTCGGGAGTTCGAGACCAGCCTGAGCAAGAGCGAGACCCCGTTTCTACTAAAAAATAGAAAGAAATTATCTGGACAACTAAAAATATATAGAAAAAATTAGCTGGGCATGGTGGTGCATGCCTGCAGTCCCAGCTACTCGGGAGGCTGAGGCAGTAGGATGGCTTGAGCCCAGGAGTTTGGGGTTGCTGTGAGCTAGGCTGACACCATGGCACTCACTCTAGCCAGGGCAACAGAGTGAGACTCTGTCTCAAAAAAAAAAGGAATAGATAAGGAGAAATTAAAAGAAAAAAAGGAAATGAATGGAAAAAATCTTCAGGTAAAGAATAATAGTTTTTAACTTAACAACTAGTTAAGACAGAATATAACATTTATGTTAAATTTTAAGTTCAAAATAAGCATACCTGTGACCCTCCCAGCCATTTTCATGACCCCAGAAAAGTCGTACTGCACAAAAAATTATCATTTTTGCAGAATAATAACAACAGCATCTAATATTCATTTCATGCTTTCTATATGCCAGCCACTGGGCTAAGCATTTTCACATATCAGCTAACTGCATTCTTACAACATTATAAAACACCGATAATTATTACCATTTTCAAATGAGGAAACTGAGGTTTAGAAAAGTTAAGTTTACCGGCCCAAGATCATACTAAAAGAGTGGCAGAACCAAGATTTATATCCAGTGTAACACCAAAGGCTAAACCTCTTAATCGCTATATTACCTTACTTCTCTATTGAAACATCTTAATTTGATTAGAAAACAAGTTTTTAAAAAATCATTACAGACATTAGTTCTACCCAAACATCTCCCACATTTTGAAATTCTTAATTTTTAAAATGTAATTCCCTTCAATGTCAACTAAACATAAGAACAAGAAAATATTTTACCTAGATTTTAATTTATTAATACTATGACTCCAAAGAGAAGACTTACATGGCTTACAAGAAAGATAAATAAAAATCTTTATAGTCTATGTGCTTCAACATTTGCTCTGCTATAAATCTGTAGTAGTAAATAAGTACCTCTACTAATGATTCCACACCAAATCTGTTTTTCAGATATGAAATTAAATACACTCAGAATAAAGGACTATAAAGAAAAGAAGTAAGTCTAAAACATAATGCTAAAACTAGCTTTAAAGATGAGGCCAAAATAATTAAACTTGGTGCTTCATGGAACTGATTCACAAACACACCAAACTGACGTCAGAGCAAACAACCAAAGGTTACAGAGTTAAAGTAGGCAGTCTCGTATTCCTAATTTCAAATACTCAAGGTGTGTCCCTGAAGCCCATTAACATAGATGAACTCCTGTAGCTCCTTGCTTCACTGTAGCCCATCCCTGCTTGCCTCCCCTACAGTCATCCCTCTTATTAAATGGGGACTTCCTGCTAGTTTGGTTGGAAGCAATCACAAGCTACAATTAATTCTTTCCTTCTAAAAGAATGTAAACACTGGGGAAAGAAAAGATTTTCAGGAAAAACAAGCAACTATACAAAGCATTTGAAAACTGAAATCCCATCTTCACTTCAAATATGTCTTTATTAAGTTAGAGAGCTCTCAAATATACCCCACACAAATGAGTGTAACCATTTCCATTTAGTCCACAATATCAAATTACAGCTAAATAGTCACAAGCACCATTTCAACAAAGAGAGTTGATTATCTATATTTTATGGTTAAATAATAGCTTTTTAGTCACCAGTCTCTTAAAATGACTGAAAATAAAGTTTACATAAAGTATACATAAATAGATTATGAGTTAAGATTTTACATCATGATTTCTAGACTTTGGTTTTCATGACCAATAAATTTTAAAACTTGGAAACTCAAGTAGGGTTAGCAAATTTTTATTTTTCCAAATAAGGACTTTTCAATTTTTAAGTCCATCTACAAGCACCGTTATTTTATGAAAGAGAATTTTAATTCAAAAAAAAAGTAGACTAAAGGACAATCCTTAAATTGAATAAACGTAGTTTTATTTTACAAAACACTAATGAGAACTTCCTCAGGGCCAGCACTAGTCGTTGAGACAAGCGTTTGGAAACCAACTGTTTAGAGGAAAACATTCTAGAATGAGTCAGGTTCCACTTAAGATTTTACCACTCATTAACTGTGTGAATGTAGATAATAACTCTGAATTTCAGTTTTCTCTTCTATAAGAATGGGAATATCCCACCTAGCTTACAGGGCTACTATGGAAATCAAAGATAAAATGTACTCAAGTAGTTTGAAAAATGTGACAAGTCACAGAAAAAGTCATCTAAACCATACAACTTACCATCAGCTGACTGGGTAAACAATGCATAATCAGGATTGACTATCTCATTAGACAGAATATCAAACCACTCACGCACAACACCTTGACCCTGAGTTCAAGAAAATAAAATTAAGCATCAACAGAAATATAGTGGGAAATTTTTTTCTAAATAACAAAATTAAAATCACATTAAATTTCTTCCCTTATTAACTAAGTATTAAACTTTATTCAAGAACATTTCAATCTATTATATACAGTGATTTCTACATCACTTATTTTTATACCCACCATGCCTTCCTCTCCATGGAACCGTACAGCAATCCCTTGCTTTAGCTTTGCACAATTTGCTTTTGACACAACTTCACAGCTACTCCTAAAAATAGAATCTAAATATGTAGCATTGGTTAATTTCACATATTAAAATTTACAGTAACAAGTACTTTGTGCCTCACACACATATGTTTGTTTGTTAAACATACCTCTATGAACAAGCAGGATATCATTTTCATTCACTGGCCTGTGTACCATGTCTGAATCTGGTTGTCCTGAATGCAAATGTTCATAAAACCATTCACAACGATCTTTAAATGGCTAGCCCAAAAATAACAGTAAAATATGTTAGCAGTATTTCAGTTACCTAATTACCAGATTTACTAGCATGCTAAATGCCCTTTCTACAAATAATCATTCTTAGACCTTTATTTATAAGTATTTATTAGATAATGTTTTAACATTTTAATAACTAGTCACAAAAAGACAAATCTTAGCTGAAATACTTTGACTACCTAGAGAATGTATTTTTTAAAACTCCTACATTTTTAACAGAAAAGACTTGATAAGTTAGGTTATATCTTAGAACTTAATATTAGATATGTAATTGAAGGTATTTACTCTCAATTTCTTTAAATCCAAGGCTTATAAAAATGAAAATTATCAAACACCCCAAAAAATTATGTTGCATGTTCCATTTAATTTTTCATGAAAATAATCTTTTCCACCTAACTTAATTCTTACTTCTATCCTTTGGAATATATGCAGCAAATATAAAGGAATTTGTTACCCTTTTCTCTTCCCTTCTTGAAGAGTAAGATCTCTTGAACAGAAAAGAAAGTCTCTACCTTTTGTTCATCTGCCAGGTAAGCAAACTGCAAGTGATTTCAATTTTTATGATTACTCAAAGTATTATTGATTAATAATCAGAAAGTACCTAGTATGTACCAACACTTCAAGTAACATAAAAGCAGTAAAAATACCTCAATTTCCTTGCTAAAACCTATTTATTACAGTTAAAGAGAGGAGACTAACACAGAACAATACAATATATATAAAATACCAAATTCTGAACAGTAAAGTATGACCTATAGATTTACTAAGAAATTAGAAGTATGCAGATGAGTGTAGTACAAAGGCTTCATGGGGAAACCTAGGACTTTAAAGCTAAGTAGGACTTGCTCAAGCAGGGAGGAAAGAGGGCATACCAGGTTAAAGGAGACAAGGAAAATGGCACAGAAGGAGGAACTGTGTCTCCCTGGAAGATCTAGTGAAGGCACACTGGCATAACCGGAGCTGTACCCTTCACGTGTTAAAAAAAAAAATATGTTTGTATAAGTAAACTGAGCACATACTTGATTCCTGAGAATCAAGTAAAAGATACAGGGGCCACTGTGGTTATTTGGTCAAAACAGTAACATGATAAATACAAGAATTAAAATGGGTTTGGCTCCAGTATAAAGGGGGACCATCCAGGCAGCCGTTGCAATAATAGGTATTAGATGATAAGGTCCTGGTCTTGGTAGGAAAGAAGACCGATAAAGTAAATCTAAGAGACATTACTCTTTTGAATAAACATTAAAAGAGAAGCTCTCTAGAAATAGAATTGATTAACAGAAATAACTCAGAGGAAAAAAACCTTCTCCCCACAACTTAATCCCCACACTCTTAGAAGGTATTAGTAGAAAGATAATGAATAAGGTTTTATATATCCTGAATTTAAAGTTATTGTGGGGTGTGACTCTTAGGGACTTGGAAATAAATACTGGACTATGCTGCAGCTGAGACACTGGAAACAGAGCCACGAGCAAAGTTAGAGACACGGTAAGGTCCCTTATTCACGAAATTGAAGATACAGAGAACAAACACCAAGAATGAAGAAATTTATGATCACGGGTCACGACTAAGAATTTGTCTGGCAAATGACACACATAGCCAGAAAGTCAAAGGAGAACCAGGGCAGTGCAATACCACAAAAACTAAGTTTCAAGAGATAAATATGACCAATACTATCCAACATCACAAAAAAGTTATCTTTCAGGTAGTTTTTAGGACATCAATAAATTTCTTCATCTGAGCTAAATATTAATTTTGCTTTAAAAGACTTAAATATCACATTTTATTAATTCTTAATAAAAATATTAATTAAGATAACTGGTAAGAGATGAACAGATTCTGCCTTTTAATATCTGCTCTTTCAGTAAGAATAAATGTTCCCCTTTTAAAAGTTAAGTATAATTTTTTCCATGCTTCTAATAGCCTTCCACACTTTGAATAAAGCACTACTGTTATTATATGTTATTATATATGTACTACAGTGCATATAAATTAAATACTTCATTTTTAGTAAACAGGCTGGAATATAAAGTATTTGAAATTTTAACACTGATTATTTCTAAAACTTTGGTAAAAGCAGAGAGAAAAAAACATTACACAGAAGCAATGTATTTAAGTGAAGTCAGATAAACATGGTTTGAAATCCTGGCTCTATCACTTACTAGGTTTACCTTAGGGAAATTACTAACCGTCACAGAACTTTAGTTTTCTCACTTGTAAGAAAGAGAAAATAATACCTGCTTCAAGGGCTAATTGTGAGGATTAAATGAAATAATGCAAATATAGAACATAATAATCATAATTATAATCATAAAGTCACACTTATTAAGCACCTATAAGACAGGTACTGTTTAAGCACTTTACATGCATTACCACATGCAACCCTCACAGCATTATGAGAAAAAGGAACTCTTATCCCCATTTTACAGAAGAGAAAAAAGCAGCACTACGAGGTTATACAAATACTCAACACCCAGAATGCTCAATAAACAGGTGTTCTCATAAAACCTATTTATTACAGTTAAAGAGAAGAGACTAACATAGAACAATACAATATATATAAAATACCAAATTCTGAACAGTAAAGTAGGAACTATAGATTTACTAAGAAATTAGAAGTATGCAGATGAGTGTAGTAAAAGGCTTCATGGGGAAATGATTTGAGCTAGGACTTTAAAGCTAAGTAGGACTCGCTCAAGCAGGGAGGAAAGAGGGCATTATCCTTCACAATAATGTTAAAATTATTATAACTATTTTAAAACTATTTTGGCAGAAAACTTACTTCCCATTATAAGATATTAAATAATGTCCTTTATCTATGAAATGTGAACCAAGAAATAAAAACAAATGATAATTTTTTAAGTAATTCAAATAGAACATTAAAAGGTACAAACTGCTACCTTCAAAAGCTAGTAAGATCAAAACAAACACACATATACAAACACCCACATGGCCAAAGGGCACATTTTTGTATGTAAACTTTCTGAGTACTTATGATTCCACAAATAATTCACAGAACAGGACTGATTACAGAGGCTCCTTTTAATAGCATTTGTACAGCAATACAAAACATCTCTCCCTTTAACTACTAGCCACCTGAAAACCACCAACAGAAGTCAATCTCTTAGCAGAGGTAATTCTTTTTTAACTTTTGGGAGAGGTACAGTCTGCAAGTTACAGAAAATTTCCAAGAACATTAGAGTAAAAAGTACTTTTTTCCCCTCTGATATGAGAGTAAGTTGCCAACATGATGCCCAGTCACCCATAAACAGTTTAGTGTGTACTTCCTACAAGCAAGGGAATTCTCCATAACCAGGTAAAAACCACTGAAATCAGAAATTTTACAGATAGCCATTACTACCCCTAATCCTTAAACCCCATTTCAAGTTTTGCCAACTTCCAAAAAATGTCCTTTATAGTTGCAGTCCCCAAACCCTGGGCTGTGGACCAGTATCAGTCCATGGCCTGTTAGGAACTGGGCCACACAGCAGGAGGTGAGTGGCAGGCAAGCCAGGGAAGCTTCAGCTGTATTTGCAGCTGTTCCCCATCACTCTCATCACCACGTAAGCTGTGCATCCTGTCAGATCAGTGGTGGCATTAGCAGCACAAACCCTACTGTAACCCTACTTTAAACTGTGCATGTGAGGGATCTAGGCTGCACGTTCCTTATAAGAATCTAATGCCTGATGATCTGAGGTGGAGCTGAGGCAGTGATGCTAGCACTGGGGAGTGGCTGTAAATACAGGTTATCATTAGCAGAGGTTTGACTGCACAGTTAATGTAATGCGCTTGAATCATCCTACCCCACCCCTGTCCATGGAAAAATTGTCTTCCAGGAAATGGTCCCTGGTGCCAAAAAGGTTGAGGACCGCTGCTTTACACCAAAATGCTTCATGAACTGCCTTTAATTGTCCTGTCTCTCTCAGTCTCCTTCACTCTGGTACAGTTCTTCAGTGTTTCCTAATTTTCATGACCTCAATACTTTTAAAGATTGCAGGTCAGATAACTTTGTAGAATGTCCCTCAACGGAAGTTAATCTGATGATTCTTTGTGATTAGATTCAAGATGTGCATATTTGGCAGGAATATCACAGAAGAGATGTCTTGTTCATCTCAGTGTATCCTATCAGCTAGCACATCAGTATGTCTGCTTTGATCACTGCCAAGCTTCTCCACTGTAAATCCCCTTTTTTCTCTTTGTAATTACTAAATTTTATGTGGAGGGATGTAAATATCCCATCATTAAACTTTCCACTTAGTCATTAATTTTTTCAGTACAAACTCATGGGTTCCTATTTTATTTATAACATGTTGCCATCATTATTTATTTTGATGTCGAAATTGTTCCAAATTTGGTAGCAGGAGTCCATTCAAGCTGGCTTCTGAGTCATTTTGACATAACCCCATCATTCTTTGAATACTTCCCTACTTTCTTGCACAACAAAATGTTCCAAGCTCATCTTGTACTTTCTCTGACCCAGCCCTGGAATTAGCCAACTCTCCAACAAGCCCTGGTTCATTGAGCATGGTAGGGACCAAGAACTCGATGCCAGGTTTGCTACAACTACCTATGTAGACTGAAGACTAAGTTCACACTGATAACTCCAATTCAAATTCCACAGTACACAATTTGTTCTATTTTTCTCCTTTCTGTAACTCCTTTCTCCAGCAGTGAGAAATCAGGCTCTCACACTTACTTATTTGATCAATCTTCACTCCTCCCACACTCTACCCTGTCGGTAAGTAACCAATCTCTTGTCATTGACATGGCCCCTTTACTGCATGGATACTCTCTGCCACCCCACTGGAACTCCATCACACAACTCTGATCGCTGCTACCACCCTCCACATGGACATACCCGTTATGCCCATCCAACTCACATAATGCATGCTGGGCCCCTCTGCTACACAGATACCCTCTTTACCACACCCAAACTCCAAAACCCCACATTAGGCTACCACTACACATGTGTACACCCTCCTCACCTTGGTCAAGAAAAAAAAAACCCTCTCTGGGTCAAAAAGGTAGATACCTTAAATGCAGGTGCTATTTGACTGAATTGTTCAGGAAGGAAAAAGAGAATAGGAAGTAAAAAGCAGAGATAGTATTAAAAATAGCTAATTAATTCTCTTTCAAAACTATGTAATAAAACTTTCTTTCACCTATTATCTTATTTGCCCCAGAACAAAGTCATATAGTATAGATTAAGCAAATGACCTTGAGAACCACACAGACTTCTAAATTCTGTTTCTCCCACTTAGCAGCTAAATGACTTAAACAAGTTACTTAGCCCCTTCGGCTTAGATAAAAGAGTACCCATCTTATACTACTGTTAAGAAAATTAAATAATTCAAGTAAAGCAAATACATAGTAAAATTAGCATTCGATAAATATAAGTTATTACTGCCTTCTCATCTACACTACCATTATTAAGCAAGTGTCAAAAGATCCACATATACATGTACATAATATTTTAAAAATTAGTTCTTAGCTCTTTAACTTCTGGAAGGGTCAGTGTCCCTAAAGGCATTAAAAAACCATCTATGGGGGAGGGGTAGGAAGGGAGGGATAAAAACCTACCTAACAGATAAAATGAACATTATTTGGGTGATGGGCACATTAATAGCCCTGACTTAAGCAATATAAAAGCCATCCATGTAACAAAAACATTTGTACCTCCTTAATATTTTGAAAATGAAAAACAAAAACCCTATGGCATAATATATTTATTATCTTATGACTACTAAACAAACCATAGCCTCCAGTCTGTCCCATATATATGACAAATTATTTTCTAAAACTTTGCTAGGATTATGTCACTCTCCTAAAGCAAAGTTATCAGTGGCTCTTAATAGCCTAGCAAACAAAGATGATTCTTCAATCTGGCTCAACAATCAAGGCTCAACACAAATTTACCTTTCTAGAACTTTATCTCACTCTTCATCTACACAAAATTTTTGCTGCAACCACTATAGTTTTAAATACTTTCCCATCTACGTGCCTTGGCCCATATCTCACCTAGAATGTTTATCTTCCCATTTATTCTCATCAAAATTTTGCATGTTTTCAAGCATTTTCAAAGTAGTTTAAAATCTATCCCCTTTGAAAATTCCCTTGATTACAGCAGCCAGAAGCAAGCTCTTCCTCCCTTAAACCCCTGAAGAACTAGAAAATACTATAATTTCTACATTATAGGTAGGTCTATTATCTCCCCTCCTAGGCTGAATTAAGACCCTCTTAGAGAAAGGAAATATGCTATCACTAAAACAACTACCACTTATTGAGCATATATGCCAGTCATTCTTTAAGGTTTATTCTTCACAATAGTTCTGGGAGGTTGGTGTCATTATCACTATTTTATAAATGAAGAAATCAAGGCTCACGGATATTAAGATATATACCTGAAGTCACATAGCTGATAAGCAGCAAAACAAGCTTACTTTCCCTAGCATGTTTCACGAAACATGAGATACGTGGAATAAACAGTTACGACCCTGGTAGCAGAAAGGTTGTCAACTAAGCTTGGAGAATCAACAAAGTTAAATCACTGTTTTTACTAAAGGGCTTCTCAAAGCTGATGTGCTTTATAAATTTCCAAAGAGTATATATTTCCCAAACGTATTTGGAGATAAAATCCTTTTATTAAGGACCATCAGCCTCATAGGATTAGTGCTCCATGAAACTCACTTCAGGAAATGTGGCAATTTGTTCCGTTATTTTTGCACAAGCCTTTGTATATAGTAGGCACTCAATACACATTTCTTGAAAAAAATTTACTCCTCATGTTAAAGTAATGTATAATTTCATTCCTCTTACAATAGGAGGTCTTAAGTATAATAATTAATCCACAAAATAATATTAAAATTTTTAATTAATTTTATTAGATAGACTAAAAAGATGAAGAAAAATTTCTACCTGTGCTTTTATGATATGCATGAATCTTGACATCAATTCAGGACATTCAAGGAGAAAGTGAAAGTGGTCAAATATAATTTTGGGATTTCTAAAAGAAAAATATATTTTATTTAAATGGACAGGATGGATGAGTAGCATTAAGTGAAATGCAAATTCAGATACATAAATACTGAAATAGAAGAAAAACACAATAATCTACATCTATTTTCACTTGTTATTGACATATTTTGAATAGTAATGGAAATAACATTTTTTTCTGTTGAGATGAAACTTTAAGTAAAGAGAGGAAAAGCTACCAGGGCAGTCAATGAATCTTAGAAAGCCTTACCTGTTAACAAAGCATTTTAAAACTTCATCGTGTTTGCAGACAAATTCAATGAAACGGGGTGAAGTCATTCTGTAGGGGGTAAAAAAACAATCAGAATATATAGACAAAAGTTTGTGATATAGCAAATTTGATACATATACATTGAATGGACTGGCTTTTAAATCAAAAAGAATTTGAGTTTGGATCTTCTTAATAAATTTAGAAAACTGAGGCATGCCTAGTCAACTTGTAAAATGAGATAATACATATATTGCAACTTCTCATCAATAGATGGTATCAAATAACTTTTTAAAAACTCTTGAAATTTTGCACATCTCTGCTATATAAATTTCAAATACATAATTAAGAGATCTTTTACAAGGTGACATTTACCACCCTACCTAGTAATAACATATATATATCATTTGCTTAAAATTTAAATATTTTGTACTAGATCTAGATTAGCACAAGGAGTATCCTGAAATAAAGATGAACAGAATCTAAAATCAACAAATTGTTATTTGTTGTTACTGAAATTACAAAAGTATCATTGCTTTTCTTCATCTATCAGAGAAAAAAATAATAAGCCAAAACTTTCTTACCCTGGAGGCATCTGACAAGAACAGCACATGTAAAAAGCTTGAATGACAGCACTTAGCCGGTTAGCTGTCATAGAAATAACATCCTGACAATCTACACTGGCTTCCTGTTTCCCTGCAAGAGCATCTGGTTTAGATTCCCCTGTGCCAGTGGACAGATTTTCATAGCTCCCAGGTCCTGGAGGTTCAAATGGAGGAATGGAAGTAGCATCTTGATCTTGGCCTTTTTGTTTCAGTAAAATAGAAGTGATATCTGTTGAGTTCTTTTTGTTTTTCATCAATTCGGTAGCTATTAAAACTAGCCATTCATCTAATGAGTGCCAAAGCAATTCCAGAGGCTATGAGAAAAAAGAAAAGTATTTTCTAACATCATTCTTAGAAAATTACAACAGGATAAAAAAAGTTCACACAACCAAATATTATTAATATAAAAGAGAAAATTTCTATCTTCCCAAGTTAATGTGACAGTAATGTCTAAAGGTAAGTAGTAAAAATACATAAATGTCATAAAAATGATAATTTCTTCACTTACAGAAAAAATTTAAGGTAAAACTAAAATCTAACAAAAAATTCATAAGCAATCTTTCTTCTTTTAACTTTCAAATATTTAGTTTTAAAAGCACACATTACTTCTGTATATATAATCACTCTAACATTTATTGTATTAACATGATAAATGTCAACAATTTTCAATTAAAGTCTTTTTCAATTAAAAAATGAGAATTCCTAAAAACCTAATAAACAGCTTAGTTTACTGTGCTTTCTTTACATGTAATTCTTAGAATTTTGATAATTTATGACAAGAAATTATATAATGTGGCACATTTATGCACATACCTACATACATATATATATATATATGAGTACACACACATAATCCATCTCTAATAACTAGTAATTTTTAAAACAAGGAATATAATATCAAA